AAATAAATAAATAAAAATAAACCTCATTTACAGCTGCCTGAATAGAAAAGCTGCTGCCACTGTCAGGCAGTTTGTTTTAAACTTTGGGTCAACCAGAAATCAAAGCAGGGAGGGAGCAACTGCACCATTGCCCCCACCTCCCTGAATCTTCCCCTGGATGTTGCTGATATATAAAGTGTCCAGAATTAAAATCAATATGTATAAGAGCAAAAAAGTCTAGGAAATAATTGCACCGCCAGAAGAGGTTAAATCTATGAGTTAAAGAACAATCCATCGCCTGGCAGTTGCAGTTCTGAGGTTCCTTGGTCTCTCAATGTAGTTATAACAGAGTCAGATAGATATGCTGACTCAATGTTTTTTAGGCCAGTGAGTAATTCAGATTAGACATTCACTAGATGAGGAAGTCGTGGACAGGGACAAGAAGGGGAAGAAGACTGTTTCTGAAGCAACCAAACATGTACAAGGCCCTGAACAGAGACAGTGACAAGGCAGCCACTTCCGGAGATGGGGCAGAACTGAGCTTTCTGCCAGAGAGAGTTGTCTATGTGCCATTTCTTCCAGGAAGAAAAACAGCTTTGTAAACCCAAAAAGGCGCTCAGAAAATGCCGCCAACTTCTGCTTTAAATAGTAAACTGACTGCCTGACACGACGTCTTTCACAACTTAGCTCAGTGTATTTGTATGGAGATGAGCACAATGGTGTCTCACTCCAGGCAGAGGTATGTAGGAGCTACCGTAATACAAATTAATGAAATAATGAAAATCAATAATACAAATGTAATTCTACCGGTTGTGCCATATAATATTTCTATACACACAGACTGAACTATCATGCTCCTTTCAAGTCATTCAGTTTTGTCTCGCCCGTAGGTATAATACATTTTATTTCCCATTACTTTAGGAGAGAGTATTTACCCTAATACATTCCTGTGAACTAAATTAATAACATGAGTGACAAACATGAAAGTTATTTAAAAAGATTAATGCGATCAACCCATACAAGCTAGGAATGCCAAAGTTAATGTTAGCTTAGCAATCTTTCTCTTATTTATAGTTTTGCCCTTTCCACATCCCCCAAGTGGAGAACACCACCTTCTGGAATTTATCTAGGTTTCTTAAAGCGTGTTTGGAATAATGGCATTATATTATATATCTATATAAATATTAGTCTTTTTTTGGTTGGGTGCCCAGAAAATATATCCCTTTAGCTCTCTTGATTTGCTTAACAGGTGTTCTTTTAAGCATGCTGCCCTCCTTCCTCACACAGTAACTTCCAATAAATCAGCGTAATCTGCAATGTATGTTCTTATCACCATCACCTGCTACAGTAACAGGGAATTCCAGTACGAGGCAGTGAAATTCTGTTAACTGCAGTGCAACAATCTGAATCGCTATATTTGAAACAAATGAAGCTTGTAATGCCCCAGGCATAACATTTTAGTGGCCGAAGAATTTGACATGACATGCATTTTGAGTATGAATAATCCTGCGATTATACTGACAGCAGAAGAAACCTTGCTTGAATCACAGGACTTGGAGCCTGCTGGAAGCCATGAAAAATTATCTGTACACAGAGTGTATCATATTAAAATTGAGTGATGAGAATGGAGCTCAGCATTGCAGGTCCGTAGCATGCAAATTTCAGACTTGGGGCATCACCTCTGACCGTGCTAGAGGCACTGCAGTGAAGTGCAGCATGACTGTGCATGCTGCAGGCTGAAAAAAAAATGTAACGTACCCCTGTCTAGCATGCATGCATTGCTCATTTATAGCTCTGTCTTGGGTGTATTTATTAACGCATGGCCAAATGTGTGCAAAAGTGGCACCCCCTCCCCCCCGCCCGGGTATAGAAATGCCCTCAGTATTTGCAGCCCTAGTGTTCTTTGGTATTTGAAGGCAGTTTTCTTGCTCACTCCCTTTCTTCTCTTGCTAAATCCCTTAATGGCTTTGAAATTGCACTGGCCGTGCCCCTTCTAGAAATTAAGCTCCAGTGGGCTGAGCATGCTGTAACACACACCAGTGTAAATCAGAAACAAAGACACTGAAGTGGAAATGTGAGGGGCAACAGACCCCTTAATTCCACAAACTCTGAAAAATTAATGGCAACTGAAAAAAGATCCATCAATGACAGACAATATAGGCTCCCTTATGGCTATCTTTAATCATGTTGAATAGTACTTCACACCTCTAGCTCATCTAAATGGCCTGAGTCCTGCCATTTAAATGTCAATTTTGGGGATACCACAAAACCATGCCTCCTCAATGCGTGCCAATAGAGACAGTCATAATCATTAAATTACTTTAGTCTCCCAATACCCCCCTGCTGGACTCAAATGCTTATGGTGCTTACATTAGGGGCTGCTGATATGTATGTGTCCATTTAAAGAGCTAAAGATTCCAGGAAATAAATATGCCCATTCTACAGAAGGTGGATTAAGGTATTGAGGCATTAAGTGTCTAGCCTATGGTGTCACAGAAGGGGTGTAGTGGCTCAGGATTTGAAACCAACTCACAGACTTGTGTCCTAGCTGCTCACAATCTTTGCTCCACAAGTCTGCACTGGTAACAGGAATACACTGGGCACATCTGCACATGCAAATAATCCGGGAGAAGTTTACTATTGAATAAAGTACTTGAGAGTAAACTCTTCCAGGAGCATATCTATGTGTGCAGGAACGTGGGAGCAGATTTGCTGCTTCTAGCAACAGACTGCTCCTGCTCCCTGTGGCCCAGCAATGGGCCCCTGCAGTAGCCAGGGGGACCTCTAGGCTCCCCCTGAGTGCTAGCCCAGAGTGCTAGCCCAGACAGCTATCTCCTGGTGAGGGCTGGGACATTGCTTCCTGCCCCCAGGAGCTGCCTGCTGCTGGGGCAGGCTCCACCACCAGAGCTTGGCGAGGACAATGTCCCTCTGTCCCAGCAGCAGGGAGCTCCCAGCCCCCACTCTGTGATCTTAGGGCCCAGGCTGGGATATCCTTACCTTCCAGCCCAAGCCCTACAGTTGGCGAGCCAGGGTTGAGAGATCCTTATCTCCCAGTCCAAGCCTCACGGTCAAGTAATCCAAGCTGGGCGATTTTTCTCTCCCAATGCTAGCTCTGTGGCTGTGGGGCCGGTGCTGGGAGAGGTCATGGAGCTGGTGCTGGGAGAGAAGATTCTCCCAGTGCTGGCACTGTGACCATGGGATTCAGGCTGGGAGGTAAGGATCTCCCAGCCTGGACCCCATGATTGTGGAGTGGGGGCTGGGAGCTCCCTGCTATCAGGGCAGGAGGACATTGTCCCTGCCCAAGCTTCAGTGGCAGAGCCCATACTAGCCTCAAGAAGCTCCCGGGGGCAGGGAGCAATCTTTTGCCCCCTGCTCCCCAGCTGACCAGGAGCACATTTGCTCCCAGTCAGGCATCTGCAAATGTGCTACTGTGCAATAATTACTCAGGAGTAAATTTGCTACTTGCATTTGCAGGTAGCAAATTTACTCGTGATTAGAGACAATTACTGCGCAGTAAGCATCTGCACGTGTAGACGTGGATGCTTACTGCATAGCAATTCACTCTACTGTGAAGTAAAGCATCTCGTGTAGACACACGCAATGGCAATTGGACAAATCAGCCCCTAATTTACAAGTGTTCCTGGACTCCTCATCCATAATAAACTCTTATAGAACTGCATCCCTGAGGTGTGTCTACACAAGATGCTTAATGCACAGTAGCCTAATAACACTGCACAGTAGCATGCCAGGAAAAAACTGTGCCCTACACTACTGCACAGTAGTATTAGGCTACTGAGCAGTAAACATCACAAAAAACCATGAGTCAGCACTACTGTCCACTAACTGTAGTTACTGCACATTTAGTTAGTACTTCATTAACCAAGTATTAACAGTAACTACTGGGCATTAATGAGCACGTGTACACACCCAGTGGGACACTTTTTACCATCTCTCAGTGGCTAGGAGAGAGGAGACCGTCCTCTCCTAGTAAACTGGCTGGACCAGAGCAATGCAACATACCTGAGCATAATGCCATTAAAATAAGTAAAACCTACCTTAAACAACTACAAGTGCTATACAATGCTGCAGCACACCTTTCTCAGCAACATCGAGGGTTGCAAACATTTCAAAGGTATCCTCCACTCTCTACAATATTTCTACTGAATACTAAGTCAAGTTCAAGGTCTTGGTCTCCATTCTTTTGCTAAAGGTGCTCAAATGCTCAGTCCTGGAATACCTAGAACATCACCTAAAGCTCCAGAATGATGATCATGACAAGTCTTCGCTCTCTTCTCCTTAGGCATGATGGCATGTAACACTGTAAAGGAAAAGTTTATCCATTTAACAGGCAGAGCCTTCTGAGTGTCTTGTCTGAGACGGAGGAACACATTTGCACATAAACCTCAAGACTTTGTTCTTCAAGCTCATAGCACTCATCTTTGATTTGGAATTCTCTAACAAATGAAAAAACCTATCAAAGATGGAGGGAGGGAAGAAAAACAAAACACGGTACACAATGGCTCCAGTGGAGACCAAAGAGAAATAACCACAGATAACTAGTCAAGTTTCTAGACCTACTACTGGACAAAATTCAGAGACCATGGTGATGAGCGAATTATATGAGTAGAAGTAGGGTTATTTGATTATTTAAAAATAATCAAAGTTGGGTATTTGATTAGTTAAAAATAAACTCAGTCAAATAATATTAATTTATTAGAACAGTAAAGAGAGTTTTAATCTTCAGGAGTTTAGAGACTCGTGCTAATTCCAACCCCTTCCCCCCAAGTTAGTTAACTGTTCTTGTGAAACAATAACATTATATGTTATTGTAATGTTATACATTTTAAAAAATTGTAATGATTTTTTATAACTATGCATGTTAGGTAAGTTTAAATGTAAATTATATTCAAGACTGAACAGTTCTTCTTTTCCTTGGCTTTTATCCTGAAAAACTCAAGGTCAGCCCGAACATTTACAAAAAAAGAGAGAGAGAAAGAGAGAAAGATTTTTTTTCTTCTTCCAGGGGAGAGCGCGAGTGCATTTCTCCACTTCCACAAATTATGCAGTCGAGTTTCCCACATCTGGGGAAACCGCAGGTGTCAGCACACCCAGAGTGCAAGGGGTGAGCCTCACCCTGGGAAAACCACCTGGGTGATCCTGGTGTCTCCCCTCCAAGTAACACATATAACAAAGATAAAAGACAAAAGTCCATTTTTTAAAATGCAGTTATGCTAAGTAGGCGGCAGACCAACTCTCCTAGCACTTTACTGTCTGCATTTGGAGATCCCTGTAGTCACAGCAAATGCCCAGTAGCTTTTCTGTGGTACTGGTTTTGATTCTTCCCTCAGCGAAGTAGTGCCTGCAGATCTACATGGGCTTAATGATGCAGGAAAGGAAAGGAAGCTGAAAAAGCTCAGGAGAGGAGTAGAGCAGGGGATGCTTGCTCTGAAACAGAGACGGAGAGAGCATGTGTGTGCATGTATCCAGACTCCTGCAGGACAGAGTGCAAAGCCTTGCTAACTGATGGCACTGCCACATTCAAAAAGTTAAGACATCACCTACAAAAGGGCATTCTTGGCTTTATGAAATATTGAATAATTTATTACTACAGTCAAATAATAATTGACCAGGTGATTTACATTATTTGTTTAGGTAATTAACTAGCTTGCCAAGCCTAACCAGAAGCAGCATTCCTGGTATATTAACACATTTTGACTTACTTTATCATTCACCAAGATCCTGACGTAAGTTTGCAAAGACATTAGTTCTTTAAAAAAGAAAGAAATGAATAAAAAGTGCTTTAAATGCTATTGTTTATTGGAATAGGTAATGCCAAAGCACCGTCCATTCAGATACTTGCGACAAAGATTAGAAAGATATATGTGAGGAAGATGTAAGAAGCAGGCCCTTAAAATGTCTACCCATTCAAGTTCTTACTCTGTGCATATCATCATTTGCATTCGATCACCTCACAACCATTTATTAACATAAGAAGCAAATCTTACGAATCTTAAAACCCTTAGGAATCAGACAATGCCATTCTTAAAAGAAGGATTTCGTCTAGCCAGGCTTTGATGTTTACTTGGGCATAAATGTAAAATCACAGAATAATAGAAAATGAGGGCAGAAGGGACTTCAGGAAGTCATTTAGTCCAACCCCCTGCTCAAAGCAGGACTGTCCCCAAACCTACTCTGTCTCAATATTTTAAGATTCCCATCATTTTGGTATGGGAGCATTTCCCTTGTAATCAGAGAAGCATTTTAGCATTTTGCTAAAAATCATTTTCTAAAAACTTGCCACAGCAGTTAATAGAGAATTTATCCTGCCACTTTTTTAAGTCACTGGCTAAAGGAAGCGAAAAGAAATCATGGTGTGGGCTGGCAGACCACAGCACTTCCTTTCTTGGCTGAAATCAGAATGGAAGTTGTCCTCCTCTCACTGGGCATCAGTAAGTAGAAATCTTTCCCTGCTGGCACGATAAGAAAATCCCTTTCTATTTCAGTGTGCTATTTGGGAAACCTCATCTGTGAACAGGACTAAAAAAGACTTCATACTAGTGACCATTAGCTACTTGCATTCAGCATGACATGAAGCGGTCCAACAGGATTACCTAATGTGAGAGTATTATATTTCAAGGAAGAAAGTTCCTTGAAATTTAGAAACCTGGTGGACATTTAACAGAAATTTTAAAATCCTTCTGCATATAAGGTAGGTGAGGCCATAAAATAACACTGTGATTGAGCATGTATGATACTTGCCCCTTTTAGCTAATCTACCAGGGATTGAACAACAGGCATCCACAGCTAAAAGCATAAATTTCTCGTTCCAATTTAAGCCAAAAAACTAGGGCTCTGCAGCTAAGAGCTCTAACAACTCATATCCTTCCCAGAAGGGGAATTGTAACATGTATTCATCATTGTGTTACACAAGGAATAACATCACAGTGGGCTACTCAAATATTGCCGGTTAAAAAAAAATAAAACCAACAATCCTGCACAGGTAATGGAAACACAGCGAAAGGAGCCAAAGAGCAACAATCAGTTGATGAAAGGAGATAAGAAGATAAGAAAGCCTAAAGGGATAAGTCTAAGGGGATAAGAAAGCTAAGGAAGGTCTTTAAACAAAGCCGTAGGTCCTTAAATAAATATCAGGAAGAAAAGACCCTGATCTAAAACCCACAGTAGTCTATGTGAATCTCTCATTTTGACTCACTCACAAGGATAGCTGCTCTTCCATTCACACCTCATTCTGCAATTTTTGCCTAATAATTTCCCTCACAAACTAGTGTTAAATGGTTCAAAATTCTTGTGCTTAGTGGGTACAATGCTAGAACATACGTTTTTTGATATGCTTTGTGAGTATCGAAAGCCAGCATTTATACATGCTCATTAATGAGGCCCAGTGTGCAACTGCATATTGTTTGTAACAATGTAAAAACTAGATAGCATTAATAACAGTTCACTTTAAACCTCCCCCCCCCGCCCAAAAAAAAAAACAACTCTCAAAATTAATGCAGTGGAAGAAAGTTGCTTATGTGCATGGAAAAAGTGCCAAAGTGCATGGAAGTGAGAGGAGTGTACAAGTGAGCTGTCTGACCCACACTGCTCCTTAACCTGGAGTCGGTCTTAATTTCCCTCTGCCCAAAAAGATTAAGGACAATTTTGGGGAGCGCCCTGATACCAGACATGTTCAGTGAATCTTCAACAGCAAAGACTAAGATAACCATTAGGAAGTCTACTGATCAAGTCCTAGCAATGAGACCTGGATCTGTCATTCATTTAAAAAAGCCTGCAACGGTCAGATCCTACTTCACCTATTCGGTGCCGAAGTGAACTTAGTGCCTAAGCATGATCCTATTCCACCCTGACTCCCTGAAAAACCTAATAATGCATCAACTCCTTTAACACACGATCATTTCATTTGAGGAGCGGCTGAGGGAACTGGACTTATTTATTCTGGAGAGGAGAAGACTTTAGGAAGGCTGACTTCAGCGAACTCAGGCGTTTAGTCAATGACACACTACAGAGTAAGAGATTTGGCGAGATGGGAGCCCAGGAAGGGTGCCTGTGCCTTAAGGAAATGATCCTTTGGGCACAGAGGGAGATGATCCTGATGTGGGGGAAAAGAGGAAAAGGGACCAAGAGGCTTTCCTGGCTGACCAGAGAAATCCAGAACAGCCTAAGGGCAAAAAGGGGGGCATATAAGCAGTGGAAACAGGGAGAGATTACAAAAGAGGAGTATCCCTCCTCAGCTCACAGATGTAGGGAGACAGTTAGAAAGGCCAAAGCTACCATGGAGCTGAGGATGGTGTCCCAAGTTAAGGATAACACAAAATTGTTTTTCAGATACATAGGGGGTAAAAGGAAGGCCCAGGGCGGTATAGGACCACTACTGAATGGGCAAAAGCAATTGGTGACGGACAGGGGGGACAAGGCTGAACTCCTCAATGAGTTCTTTGCCTCAGTGTTCCTAAATGAGGGACAGGACAATGGGATTGTAGAGAGGCAGCAGCAGGCACCAGACTACCAAGCGTTGACCCTGAGATGTTGCAGCGTCACTTGGAAGGACTGGATACGTTTAAGTCAGCAGGCCCGGATGAGCTCCATCCGCGGGTACTGAAGGCACTGACTGATGTCATTGCAGGAATATTTTAGCACTTGTGGCACACAGGCCAGGTCCTGGAGGACTGGAAAAGGTCCAATGTGGTCCCTATTTTCAAGAAGGGGAGGAAGGAGAATCCAGGCAACTATAGGCCAGTCAGTCCCACCTCCACCCTTGGTAAAGTGTTTTAAAAGATTATTAAGGCTCATATATGTAGGAGCCCAGCAGGAAAAATTCTGCTGAGGGGAAACCAGCACGGGTTCGTAGCAGGTAGATCATGCCTGACTAATCTAGTCTCTTTTTATCACCAGGTTACAAAACAACTGGACGCAGGAGTATGGGTAGACATTGGTTACTTAGATTTCAGGAAGGCCTTCGATACGGTATCCCACACCATACTGGTGAACAAGTTAAGAGGCTGTGACTTGGATGATTACACAGTCCGGTGGGTGGCGAATTGGCTAGAGGGTTGTACCCAGAGAGTGGTGGTGGATGGGTCGGTATCAACCTAGAAGGGTGTGGGCAGTGGGGTCCCGCAGGGCTCGGTCCTTGGACCAATACTCTTCAGTGTCTTCATTAGTGACTTGGATGAGGGAGTGAAGTGTACTGTGTCCAAGTTTGCGGATGACACAAAACTGTGGGGAGAAGTGGACACACCGGAGGGCAGAGAACAACTACAGGCAGACCTGGACAGGTTGGACAAAGGGGCAGAAAACAATAGAATGCGATTTAACAAGGAGAAATGCAAAGTGCTAAACTTAGGGAGGAAATATGTCCAGCATACCTACTGCCTAGGAAATGACCTGCTCGGCAGCACGGAAGGGGAAAGAGATTTTGGAGTCCTAGTGGAAGATGAACATGAGTCGTCAGTGCGACAAAGTCATCAGCAAAGCTAACTGCACTTTATCATGCATCAGCAGATGCATGGCAAACAGAACCAAGGAGGTGATACTTCCCCTCTATCGGGCGCTGGTCAGACCGCAGTTGGAATACTGTGTGCAGTTTTGGGCACCGCACTTCAAGAGGGATGTGGATAACCTGGAGGGGGACCAGAGAAGGGCCACTCGTATGGTTAAAGGCTTGCAGGCCAAGCCCTATGAGGAGAGACTAAGGGCACCTAGATCTCTTCAGCCTCCACAAGAGAAGGTTGAGAGGCGACCTTGTGGCTGCCTATAAATTCATCATGGGGGCGCAGAGGGGAATTGGTGAGGCTTTACTCACCAAGGTGCCCTGGGGGTCACAAGAAATAATGGCCATAAGTTATCAGAGAGCAGATTTAGACTGGACATTAGGAGGAACTTCTTCACAATGAGAGTAGCCAAAATCTGGAATGGGCTCCCAAGGGAGGTGGTGCTCTCCC